ACCTCCGGCCTAGAAGGACGAGGGATTGGGGCCGGTTGAAGGTGTAGCAGGGAGTCAGAGAGGCTGAATGGGCAGCCGGCTGGGGGGGGCGGGGGAGGAAGGGAGAAAGGGCTAGTACTGGTCAGACTTCCAATTAGGCACAGTAAGCTCGTACCTCCGGGCTGCCTCGTGTGTGACTTTCTAGCCCACCTGGGCTGCTTTTCCCCAGCGGCTGCCAGGGCCTTTTCGGGGTTGCAAGTTGCAGTCTTTGGGGCTGTATTGCTGCCCTGCTGCCACTGGTCGCACTGTTCGGGAGGGGCAGGGGGGAGCCTCCTCCCCCACCCCTTGTCTCACTTCCTGCCCCCTCCCCTTAGGTGATGCTTGTGGCTTGCGCAGAATTCTTGTCCGAGAGAGGCAGGATTTTTTTTTCCCCTGCAGAAAGTGCGCTGCAGTTCCGCCTTTCACCCCCCGCAGAGGCAGCAGTGGCGCCAGAACAGCCTGAGCTGGTGACCTCCGGGCAAGTCCTTTTGCCTCTTTGTGCCTCAATTTCCGTCCCCAGACAATGTTAGTTTACAGAGCACTGTAAGACCTGAGGCGATGCTTGGTTGCCGTGGTGACAGGTGGCAGTGCAAACCCCGAAAAGAGATGATCAGCCAGGCTGATCCCGGTGTTCATAGAATAATAGGACTGGAAGGGACCTCGAGAGGTCATCGAGTCCAGCCCCCTGCCCTCAAGGCAGGATCAAGCTCCGTCTACACCATCCCTGACAGATGTCTATCTAACCTGTTCTTAAATATCTCCAGAGAGGGAGATTCCACCACCTCCCTTGGCAATTTATTCCAATATTTGACCACCCTGACAGTTAGGAATTTTTTCCTAATGTCCAATCTAAACCTCCCCTGCTGCACTTTAAGCCCATTACTCCTTGTCCTGTCCTCAGAAACCAAGAGAAACAAATTTTCTCCTTCCTCCTTGTGACACCCTTTTAGATATTTGAAAACCACTATCATGTCCCCCCTTAATCTTCGTTTTTCCAAACTAAACAAGCCCAGTTCATGAAGCCTGGCTTCATAGGCTTCTCTAGACCTTTAATCATTCTTGTCGCTCTTCTCTGTACCCTTTCCAATTTCTCCACATCTTTCTTGAAATGTGGCGCCCAGAACTGGACACAGTACTCCAGCTGAGGCCTAACTAGCGCAGAGTAGAGCGGCAGAATGACTTCACGAGTTTTGCTTACAACACACCTGTTAATACAACCTAGAATCATATTTGCTTTTTTGGCAACAGCATCACACTGTTGACTCATATTCAACTTGTGGTCCACTATGACCCCTAGATCCCTTTCCGCCATGCTCCTTCCTAGACAGTCGCTTCCCATCTTGTATGTATGGAACTGATTGTTCCTTCCTAAGTGGAGCACTCTGCATTTCTCCTTATTAAACCTCATCCTGTTTACCTCCGACCATTTCTCTAACTTGCTAAGGTCATTTTGAATTATGTCCCTATCCTCCAAAGAAGTTGCAACCCCACCCAGTTTGGTATCATCTGCAAACTTAATAAGAGTACTCTCTATCCCAATATCTACATCATTGATGAAGATATTGAACAGTACGGGTCCCAAAACAGACCCTTGAGGAACTCCACTTGTTATCCCTTTCCAGCAGGATTTAGAACCGTTAACAACAACTCTCTGACTACGGTTATCCAGCCAATTATGCACCCACCTTATCGTGGCCCTATCTAAGTTATATTTGCCTAGTTTATCAATAAGAATATCATGCGATATTGTGTTGCCTGTACCCGGGTCTCCCTGTCCCGCACACCCACCACTCGTGTCTGTCCACCGCACGCAGAGAACAGCCGGGTGCACCGTGGTTTGTCTCAGGTTCCGTGGGACCCTCGTCCAAGTCCTCGTGAATTCAGGGGGAGCCTTCCTACAGCTATTGCAGCCCCCTAACCCGTTCCGCTTACCCACGCTGCTCGGCTTTCTTTCTCAAAGTGGCCTCCAGCGCTGTGCAGACCCTGACAGTGACCGACGTAACGACCAACTCCGCCCGGCTCTCCTGGGACTCAGTTGCTGGGGCCACTGGGTACAGAGTGGTTTGGGGCCCCACGCCAGGTAAGCCCGTGATGGCCGAGTCTGGAGCACAGACAGGCCCTCTCCCCCCGGCACGAATGCAGCGCGAAAGCTGAAACGGCGGGCGCGTAAAGCCGGGGAATTGCAGTGGTGATGCTCCACGTTGGGCGACCCACATGCCTCGGGGCAGGGAGCTAATTTCACTCCCAATTCTCGGGTGCACGAAGGGCCTATTCGGCTGCTTTGGCAGCATCAAGGCTCTCTGAATATCCCTGCACTAAGGACCTGCCCCTCCAGCGTCCAGCTGACAGACGAATTCTGCACACAACACCCCTGGCTTCCCACGGTGCTAGGGTTCCCTAGTTTTAAGGACCACGGGAAGCACATTCCAGCCTAGAGCAGCCAGGAGGCTGCACTGATTTACACTGCGGAGGGGGGGGGGCAGGTCATATTCTTGGATAGGGAAAGTCCAAAGGAGCCACCTAGACCTCTTGGCCCACTCCCTGCATCAGGTCTGGGAAAGAGCTAGATGACTATCACGTCCTATCCACAGGGCCTTATGGGAAAGGCATCCTGACTTCGTGGCTTTTCCCCCCTGTAGAGGCTGTAAATTCGGCAGACCAGATTTCCAGCCCGTCCTTCCTTAAAGGAGCACTCCTTTCCACTCGATTCTTTTGGGAAGGTGAAAACTGACTCATTTTAGCAAGTTCCGGCATCTGCAAGAGCCCCCTGCCGCACCTTGGCTGCATCTAGACTGGCATGATTTTCCGGAAATGCTTTTAACGGAAAAGTTTTCCGTTAAAAGCATTTTCGGAACAGAGCGTCTAGATCGGCACGGACGCTTTTCTGCCAGAGCACTTTTTGCGGAAAAGCGTCCGTGCCAGTCTAGACGTGCTTTTCCGCAAAAAAGCCCCGATCGCCATTTTCGCGATCGGGGCTTTTTTGCAGAAAACAAATCTGAGCTGTCTACACTGGCCCTTTTGTGCAAAAGCTTTGTGCAAAAGGGACTTTTGCCCGAACGGGAGCAGCACAGTATTTCCACAAGAAGCACTGATTTTACAGTAGGAAGTCAGTGCTTTTGCGGAAATTCAAGCAGCCAGTGTAGACAGCTGGCAAGTTTTTCCGGAAAAGCGGCTGATTTTCCTGAAAAACTGGCCAGTCTAGAGACAGCCCCTCCTGTGTTGGTTCCTTTATTGCTTTTCGTTCCTTTCAGTAAAACTCCCCCGTGCAAAAGTGTTTCGATCCCGTGCTGATGTCTTGGAAAGGTACTTTCGGCACCAGCAAAACTAACAGAGGGTTTGATACTGCAAATGCAGGGGGGCTGGTCCCAGAGGCCGAATGGGTAGAAATCCAGGTCTTCAACTCGGTCTTCGAATTTCTCTGGCCTGCGTTATACAGGAGGACAGATTGGCTTGCCAGAGTCTGGCATTAATGCCTCTTAGCTTTACTCGCTGGCTCCCCAGGTCCTGCCTCCGCCAAGCTGATCTACTTGCCAGTACTGTTTGCTCTTCATCTTCTTTTTCTTCCTGCCAAAAGAATTCTTCAGCAAGGACCGACCGCGGCAGCTGGTTCTGAACAGCTCCACCACAGCCTACCAGCTCCAGAACCTAGCCCATGACAGCGAGTACGTGATTTCCCTCTATGTGCAATTTGGCTCAGCGGAGGGGCCTGGGATCACCGCCTCAGCCAAGACGTGTAAGTATACGCACCAGGTGGAAGTGGGGCGTTTCCTTGGCCCAAGGAGCTCAGGTACCCAGCTCATACCCCGTACATATCAACAGCACAGAGATGCCGTGATCACAGCCTTTCCTTCTAAAGTGCTATATGAGCTAGCAGTATCCCCTGCCCAGAATGCAGCCAGCTCTGGGGTAGAACGATCAAGTTTAACACACAGAGCAGCATGACAGTTTTGGTGAGGCCACATCTGGAGTATTGTGTCCAGTTCTGGGCCCCCCGCTACAGAAAGGATGTGGACGCATTGGAGAGGGTCCAGCGGAGGGCAACCAAAATAATGAGAGGGCTGGAGCTTATGATGTATGACGAGAGGCTGAGGGATTTGGGCTTATTTAGTTTGCAAAAGAGAAGAGTGAGGTGGGATTTAATAGCGGCCTTCAATCTTCTGAAGGGAGGTTCCAAAGAGGATGGAGAGAGGCTGTTCTCAGTAGTGACTGATGGCAGAACAAGGAGCAGTGGTCGCAAGTTGCAGTGGGGGAGATCTAGGTTGGATATTAGGAAAAACTATTTCTCTAGGAGGGTGGGGAGCACTGGGTTGGGTTCCCTAAGGAGGGGGTGGAATCTCCATCCCTAGAGGTTTTTAAGCCTCAGCTTGACCAAGCCCTGGCTGGGATGATTGAGTTAGGGTTGGTCCTGCTTTGGGCCTGAACTTGATGAGGTCTCTGCCAGCCCTTGGATTCTATGATGCTATGACACTACAGACCAGGACACACTCCAGGGAAAACACTCCAGCTAACAGAAACGTAGGGGCAATTGACAGGACTTGCCAGTGTTGGAATTTGGACTCTGGGGTAAGAGCTACTCTGCTGGGAAGAGCGAGGGGATTGTTAGGCAGAAAGAAAGGCCTGGACTTTCGTTTCATGTTCCTTCCAAAAGGCGACACCACCTCCAGCAGCACAGATCCTCTGACTGATGGGGTGGGGTGTCCGGCTCAGTCCCTCACCAGCTACCACTCCCTGGCCCTGCAGTAACCCAGCCTTCCTTTGGCTGCCTCCCTCCCAGCCCGCGTCTCACCCAACTTAATCCGACCCAGCCTGTGCTATGAGAAGGGATGACAGAATGAGCTGATCCGTAGGGCCGTCCTTACCCATGTGCAGAATACACAGCTGCGTGGGGCGCCTGAAAATGTGGGGCACCGCTGGGTCCTAATGTCCACCCGCCTGCCGCTTCCTATCCCTGCTCTTGGCTCTACTTCCTCCAGAAAGGATCTAGATAACGTAAAAGTAACAAAGCCTGCCGGAGCTGTGAGCAGAACATCGAACCTGAGAGAGAGCCATTCAGGTGATGATGAAGCTATTGAACAGGCGTGCGCCAACCCCAGATCTAGCCTGTCGGTGTCTGAATTTACTGGGCCAGTCGACTGAACCGTAGTTTAAAATTTGCTTTAAAACTATTTCATGCGTGTGTAGCTGAAGAGAATAAAATCACATCTCTAAAAAATCATCAACTCCTTCACCTTCCCTGGCTGCCATCAGGCACTGGAGCACCAGTTTAATCGTACTGCGGAGGGCCCTGGAAATCCTAAAGACAGCCCTGCTGCCGGCCGTCACCAGCCCGCACCTCTGCTGTTGTGTCTCAGCTGTCTGCTAGCAACGGCGGGGGAGCTGTGCCAATTTAGCTGCCGAGGAGATGCCATAGGACTCCCCGAGCAGTGTGTCAGGAGGCCTGTATCCCCGCCTGACTCGCAGCAGCACACAGATAAAATCGAACCCCGTCCTTTGAAAGTCCCTGCCCCATAACCACCACCCCCCACTCCCGCGCTGTGAGCAACGAGAACCCAGAGACACTGGCTTTTCTCGAGCCTGTTCCTAATTACTTCACTTTCCCTGGCAGCGCCGCTTGGCTACGTGTCCAATTTCAGAGTCACTTCCTACACGAGCACATCCATCTCTCTGGCGTGGAGCGCCAACCCTGCAGCTGCCGGATACCGAATCTCCTGGAGACCCGGGGGAACGGGTAAGTACCAATCGGGCACCGTGATTTACTTTGGTTACACCCGGATATGTGTAGCGGACGTTCAAGCCGGCGACGCAACCTGGTTGCCTGCACGGAATATTGCCTGGCCGTGGGAGATTGTTTTATTCTGTCTCTCTGGGCCATCGCGGCCGATATCTGCAGAGCTAATGCTCCACATTTCTGGGGGTGGGTGTGAAAACGAAGCCAGCGCCAGGCTGTGGGTGTTACTGCCAGAAGGGTTTGAACCCTCACGCCTCAGTGCTAAGAGCACGAGTGTCCACCAGGTGATCAGAAGGACAGAGATCCCCTAGGTTTTAGCGATAGCTGACTCTTAATCTTGTGCCTGGATCAGCCACTGGGGGGGAATAAAGATCCCCAGGCGCCAAATGTAGTTGGCATGAGCTCCCACTTGTGGCTACTGGAGTAGCAGTGATTTGTGAATACGCCAAGGCCCTTGTCTGGGTTGGTTTGTGAAATCCGTGGGCCTTCATCTCTTGCTCTAGTTGGAGGGGACTAAAGCGTTGGCCTCAAAGAATCCCGTTGGTTCCAGGGGTGTTCCCAGCTGATCCGCACGTGTGGCTGGGCAGACTCATGACATCCAGGGCCGTCCTAACCCATATGCAGAACGTGCAGCTGCGTAAGACACCTGAAAATTTGGGGCACCCCTGGGTCTTAATGTCCACCCACCTGCTTCTTCCTATCTCTGTTCTGTGGCTCTGCTTCCTCTGGAGAGCATCTAGATAACTTAAGTGACAACTGCTTCCTCTGGAGAGCATCTAGATAACTTAAATGACAAAGCCTGCGGAGCTAGTAGCAGAACACTGAACCTGTGGAGAGCCATTCAAGTGGGAATGAAGCCATTTAACAGGCGTGTGCCAACCCCAGGCAGGTCCTGGCAGTGTCTGGATTTACTGTGTCAGTCGACAGGGCCTGAGATGAACATGTATTTGAAAACTATTTCGTGGGCGCGTTGCCGAAGATTGGAAAGTCACAGCTCTCAAAAATCATCATCACCCTCCCTCACCCCAGGGGGATAGTTAGCTGGTTTCCAGACCATTCATGCCACCGATGCCGCTGGTCCAGCGCCAGTCCAAGGCTGAGGTGGGTGTCAGGACACCTTTCCTCATTCAGCCCCCATTTGCCTGGGTTCAGTTTAATCCCTTCCCTCCAGCTTTTCATCCCTTGAGCCTCTCTAAATGGTCATACATAAGAACGGCCATACTGGGTCAGACTGAAGGTGTCCTGTCTTCCAGCAGAGGGAGTGAACAGAGCAGGGAATCCTCACATGATCCCTCTCCTGTCATCCATTCCCAGCCCCCGACAAACAGAGGCTAGGGACACCTGATTAGGTTAGTATTGATGAACCTAACCTCCATGAATTTATCTAGTTCTTTTTTGAACCCTGTTAAAGTCCTGGGGCAAGGAGTTCCACAGATAGACTGTGCGCTTCATGAAGGAAAACTTCATGTTTTTTGTTTTAAACCTGCTACCTATTAATTTAATTTGGTGCCCGCTAGTTCTTATGATCCCTCCCCGCAACTTTGTGTGTATATCCTTCCCCAGAGAGCCCCGGAAATAACACTACTGGCCTGGGTGGAGAAGAGTCACTGCTCTTGGTGAATGATGTGCACTGTGGTGTCCTTGTCCTTTCAGGAAGAGGAGTCGCCAAGAGCCAGTATGTGAGCCGCAGCGAGCTTACTTATCACATTGACCATTTGCTGCCTAATACCCACTATGCACTTGGAGTTCGCGTTGTATTCAGCACGTCCGAGGGACCAGAAACGACCCTTGCTCAACGCACAGGTGAGTTCTGCTGTCACAAGCTCTTCTCCCACAGGACAGCGGATTTGAACCTATGGCCTTCAACACAGACCTTTACCACTTGACCTAAAGGAGCAATCCTGCTAATTTGCAGCAGTAGTAGACTGTTATCCTTGAGCAGAATGTAACATGCGTTCTGCCAGTCTCTTACATTGTCCCTGTATACATAGGGCTAGATTTAGGCCTTTTTGAACAGTAACATTATACCTAGGTTCCCAAATCCTTCCAGTCTCTCTTACCCAGCTCAGTTCAGCTACAGGCCCTGTTGTTCCTTGTGGGATCTGGAAATGTCCTGCAAATTGCTCCTCCTTCCTTTATGGCTGACTTTGCATGTTTCCAAGGCTCCTTTGTGTATGAGCGAGACACCCCTGAGAGCATGCAGTGTTGAGCACCTGCTGTGTTAGGAACAACTGGATTTTGAGGCCCATGGGTAATATTTTTAGCCTGGTCTATAGCAAAACCTCATTATGATGTTCTTTGGCCTTCTTTTTGAACTCAGTGTGGGAGCTCCCTGGAGAAAAGCTGGTCTGTTGATAAAGGACCAGACTGGGACTCTGGCAAGGAGTTCCACAGGTTGACTGTGTGCTGCATGAAGAAAAACTGCCTTTTTTTTGTGTTATAATGTCTTAGGCTACATTTAGACTGCATCCCTCTGTCGACAGAGGGATGCAAATCAAGCACTTTGAATTTGCTAATGAGGCCGGGATTAAAATATCCTATGCTTCATTAGCATAAACATGGCTGCTGCTTTTTTCCGAAAAGGATTTTTTTTTTGGAACCCCCCCCCCCCCGGTAGTCTAGATGCAGATCTGTCAAAAATAAACCCTTTTTCGACAGATCCCGCAAATCTCATTTTTTGAGGAATACAGGGTCTGTCGAAAAAGGGTTTATTTTTGACAGATCTGTGTCTAGACTGCCGGTTTTTTTTAAAAAAAACTCCGTTTCGAAAAAAACCAGCAGTCATGTTTATGCTAATGAGGCGTGGGGTATTTAAATCCTGGCCTCATTAGCAATTTCGACATGCCTAATCTACATCTCTCTGTCGACAGAGGTGTAGTCTATACACACCCTTCATGTCTGATCTGGAAGAACAGTGACACTAGGGGTGTGTCTAAACTACATGGCTCCATCGATGGAGCCATGCAGATTAGGCTGATGGGCAAAGGGAAAATAATTGCGGCTTCTTTTAAATTTAAATGGCTGCCGCGCTGAGCCGACAAACAGCTGATCAGCTGTTTGTCGGCTCAGTGCACCAGTCTGGAAGCTCCCGTGCCAACCTGAAAGCCCTTTATCAACCTCCCCGTCATGCCTGGTAGGATGAGGTTTACCGGGGAGGTCAATAAAAGGCTTTCATGTCAACAGGGGAATGTCCAGACTAGCGCGCTGAGCCGACAAACAGCTGATCAGCTGTTTGTCGGCTCAGCGAGGCAGCCATTTAAATTTAAATGAAGCCGCGATTATTTAAATCGCGGCTTCATTTCCCTTTGCCGATCAGCCTAATCTACATGGCTCCATCGACAGAGCCATGTAGTTTAGACACACCCACAGTGAGTAGCACCTTTCCCCAGGAACAGACCCACTGACATGAGCAGGCTTAGTCATGGAGCAAGGGCCATTCAGGGGCAGGAAAGGTATCGCCTCTGGCTCAGATCTCTCTCTGTCATTCATTTTTGCAGCCTCGCTCGCGGGCTCACGCCCCATCCAGACCGTCCAGGATTTGCGCATCGTTGACATTGGAGTAAACAGCTTGAAGGTCTCCTGGAAAAGGACCCCGGGGGTCACGCACTATAAGATAGCCTGGGCCCCGATCAGCGGTAGGCATCCGGCTCCGTGGGCCACGTACAGGATTGCGGGGGGCACACCAGGGTCCCTGAGGAGGGACTCTCGGCTCAGTTCCCCCCAGCTCTTCGTGCGCATGCAAGGGGACAGACGCTAAACTGGCAGAGAGGGGACGGTGCTCGGGGGAATTTGGGGTTCACGCCTAGATTCGTAAGATTTAGCTGAACCCTTCCGTTCTCCTCTTAGGCTTCTGGCAACTGGGTTTGATTTCCATTGTCCTTGGAGGAAACGTTCCTCTGGGCTGCTCAGTTATTCCACCCGCTCATAAGTAGCTTTAAGAACAGGAGGACAGCCAGACGGGGTCAGACCAAAGGTCCATCCGGCCCAGTGTCCTGTCTGCCGACAGTGGCCAATGCCAGATGCTCCAGAGGGAGTGAACAAAACAGGGAATCTTCAAGCAATCTCTCACCTGTCACCCATTTCCAGACAAACAGAGGCTAGGGACACCATTCCTACCCATCCTGGCTAATAGCCATTGATGGACCCAACCTCCATGAATCTATCTAGTTCTTTCTTGATCCCTGTTAAAGTCCTGGTCTACACAACCTCCTCTGGCAAGGAGTTCCACAGGTTGACTGCGTTGCGTGAAGAAAAACTTCCTTGAATTTGTTTTAAACCTGTTGCCTATTAATTTCATTGGGGGACCCCTAGTTCTGATGTTATAGGAACTAGTAAATCATTTTTCCTTATTCACTTTTCCACACCCGTCATGATTTTATAGACCTCGATCATACCCCCCCTCAGTCTCCTTTTTTCGAAGCTGAAAAGTCCCAGTCGTTTTAATCTCTCTTCATATGGGACCCGTTCCAAACCCCTCATCATTTAATCGAACTCAGGAACCAGAACAGCGAAGCCCTGTCAGCCCCCATGAGCTATGCCATGTTTTCTAGGTTTCTTGACAGGCTTATACAGCCCGTGATGAACCACTGCGCTGCCGTGGCTTTGCTGCTCCGGTACCGGAGCTAGCTTGACTAAAGCTGGCTTGGGATGTCTGCATCCGTGGAGGGGTTGGCACAGGGGTGGGCAAGATATGGGCTGTGGGCCCTTCAATCCAGTCTGAGCTCTGCCCCTGTCTCTGGCGGGGCTGCGGGCTGGGAGCCGCCTAGGTAAGCACCTCCCAGACAGAGCCTGCCTCTGGCACCCCACCCCCTCCTGCACCCAAACTCCCTTCCTCGAGCCACCACCCCCTTCTGCGCCAGGTCACCACCCAGGCCCTCTCCACCCCTCACCCAGGTCATAAATCCATTCCACACCCTGCACTCCTCCCCCATCCTTCCCCCAGGCCAGAGTCCTCTCCTGCGCCCAAAGCCCCTGCCCCAGATCATAATCCCCTTCTTCATCCAAGCTCCCTCTCAGACCTCACACCCTCTCCTGCACCCACGTCCCCTACCCCCAGCTCCCTTCTGCACCCAGCCTCCGTTCCAGACCCCACAGTCCCCCATAGAAAAGTGCAGCCCTTGGCCACTTATCAAAACCTTGGAGTGGCTCCCCATCAAATATTCTATATTTTTAATTCTACCAAATATATCAGTCCTCTTTAGACAGGATAGACCAGTAAATAGAGTGTTTGACTAAGAGCCACGAGTCCAGGTTCTCTTCCCAGCTGTGCCACTGATACATTGTGACCTTGTGCGAGTCACTTAATCCCACTATGCCTCAGTTTTTCCAGGTGTAAAATAAGGCTAACAACACTCATTCTCTTTTACCAAGTGTTTGGAGGCTCTGTGACTGAAAAGGACTGTAAAAACAATACTCGCTGCAAAAAGCATTATTACTTACTCCTGCCCTTCTCACAAGCTGTTCCACTTTTTTGTTATTAATTAGGTGGCTTGGAGGCCTCACACATCGTCCCAGCAGAGATCATATTTTTCACCATTACTAAGCTGCAGCACAACACTACGTACACTGTCCGTGTGTCTTCGATGATCCAGGAACGGGAGGGAAGCCCGGTGCTTCTCACTGCTAAAACATGTGAGTGGCTTGGTAGATGCGGGCAGACTGTCCTTGATAGGCCATCACCGCTGCCACAATCGATCTTCTGGAGTTCTATTTAGTGGGTCTGGTTAAGACCCGCTAAATCGAACTCAGAAGGTGTCCTCGTTGGTGGCCCGTACTACTGATTTTGTGTGGACGGCAGGGAAACTCGAAACAAGGTACATTGACTGCAGCTACATAATTACCATAGCTGGAATTGGGTATCTTGATTCGACCTTCCCCTTGAGTGTAGACCTGGCCATAATGTCACCATTGTACCTGGGAAGTAGGTCTGTTCAGGCTAACACGTTTGTGCTCATCTCAGAGTATCCAAAGTTTGGGATCAATTCAGAGAAACAGCCTAAAGTATAGGGATCATGGCTACGGTGGGAGTGAATTGGTGTCGTGCCACTGGTTTTGGCACAGCTACCCTGGTCTCCATGGCTCCAGATGCTACTCGGATTAATGGAGGGTCTGTACCAAGCTCTTGGAACTATTCCTTCTCTTCCCGCACACACTGCTAGAGAGGCAGGTTTAGGCCTGCTGACGGGGGGAGGGGGCAAAGGGGGCAGTTGCCCCAGGACCTGGTGCACTGGTGGTGGCTGAAGCCGTGGTTCCGTTTGAATTGCCACCAGAGTGCTGCGCAGGACATGCCATGGGGCTCTGAGGGCAGCGGGGGACCAGTCCCGCGGCCCGGCTGGCGCTGGCCCGCACACACTGCTAGAGAGGCAGGTTTAGGCCTGCTGACGGGGGGAGGGGGCAAAGGGGGCAGTTGCCCCAGGACCTGGTGCACTGGTGGTGGCTGAAGCCGTGGTTCCGTTTGAATTGCCACCAGAGTGCTGCGCAGGACATGCCATGGGGCTCTGAGGGCAGCGGGGGACCAGTCCCGCGGCCCGGCTGGCGCTGAGAGCTAGCTGTCTTGCCCCGCCTCTTCCGCCAGAAGCCCCGCCCCTTCCGTCAGCAGCCCCGCCCTTTCTGTGGGCGTAGAGCCTCTCCCCAGCTTACCCTGCACCCCACGGTGGCTGTCAGCCCCGCCGGGCAGGCTGACTATCGGTACCGCTGTGGGCACGTGGGTAGGGTCCTGGAGCTGATAACCGGCTGGCAGGAATTTCCCGCCGATGTGTGGCACAGCATGATGGGCCAGGTGCCGCTTGGGCTATTTTGGATCTTCCGCAGCGTCCCTGCCAGAGACAAGATACCAACCTCAAGAGGCCAGGAATCGGTTTTCTTTCTGTCGTGCCTCGTTGGAATGTTTGCCACTGATGTCAAGGGGCCCAGGATTCCACTCGTGCATGGTGGAGAGGCGGGGGGTTCCCTCAGGCCCTGTGAAGTTCAGTGGATTCTCTGAGCTCATTTGTCCAATACCATTCATTTAAGGGTTTGAAGAGCAGCAATTTAAACAGCCGCCTTTGTCCTCTTTCCTTTCCCACAGTGGGCCTGCCCAAAGTGGCTCAGTTTGCAGTTCAGGAGCACACAGAAGGCAGCGTTTTGCTGAGCTGGACGGGCGTTCATGGGGCATCAGCATATTTATTAACATGGCGCCTCACCTCAGGTAACGGCTCTGAGGCGTCTTCGAGGAATGGCGATAGAGAAGGGAAGCCGGCGTAAGGAATGAAGAAGAGAACGGGAGGTGGGGAGGTGTGGAAAATGGGCTCACCGGAAAGCTCTCAAGAAGGCCATGTTGCCAAATATCACATCTTCCCCCGGCGTGGCCAGTTTTTAGTTCATGACAGCATAGGAACAGCCAGACCGGATCTGGCCTCACGCCCCTTTAATCCAGTGTCTTGACTCTGACAAGAGGCAAGAGTGCTCCAGAGGGAAGCGCACGGAACGCCATCATGCAATGGTTCTCAAAGTGTGGTCCGTGGTCCGCGACCGTTTTGCAAGTGGACTGTAGGCTCGGAGTTCACCCCCTCACTCCTTCAGCGGGGAGTCTGTGCTGGCACTCCAGCTCCCCCAACCGTTGCAGGGGGGGCGCTAAGCACTAAGCTTTGCAGGCTGGATTTGGCTCGTGGGGGGAGTAAGCAGCTCTGTGCACTGCCTCTCCCCCTCCCCTCCCCATCTGGGAGAACAGCAGCACAAGAAATTGCTTAGCTGGAAATCAAAATAAATCCACAGAAGGGATGGTCCTAGAACCCGATTCCAGTGCATCTCTCCTCCTGCATGTGTAATTACTACTGCGCAGATTTGAACTTGGGATCTCTGGAGCTTAGTATAAGCACCTCTATTGCTTAAGTTAGAAGCCGGCTGGTTCTTAGCTTTGGCCATATCCCCCCCACCTCAGCCCGCTTTTGCACCCATTTTGCCATCATGGGTGGTGTCGTGTGGTTCGGCTTTTGGATCTGAGAGGAGCCAGTAAAAACACCTCCGATAAACTCTTGTTAACTTTATTATGCACAGAATACTAACGGAAAGCCGTGCAAGGTTACACAGATTTGCTTCAATACACAGGATAGTTAGCACCGACAATAATATAACACCTACACCTAGGACAATACCCAAGATACTTGATTTTAAGGCTAGAGATATACATGTACTTATTTCTATAAATCACACAGTTCCACCTCTAAGACCTTACAATTCTCAGATGATTGTCAGACGTGAGGTCGTAGCCTCGTAGTTTCCCCATGTGCTGAGGAATCCACAGTGCATCAGTCAGGAGGAACAGGCACAGATTCTAGCTGCAGCGAGTAAGGTAGTGGGAACCGCTTACCCAATTCACCCACCAATTACCTTTTCTACACCTACTTCTGTAGCAAAGCGAGACTTGACATGGTCGTTCTAGTAAAATCTACCGATTAATTATGTATTGTGTACGCCCCTCTTTTGGATACGTCCTGCTAGTCAAACTACACTACACTTAATTGATAGTTTTATGGCTGCATCAGTGATTTTTGCTCATTAGCTTTGTTACATACCAGTACCAGGTTACTCCTGATGCTCTTGGCACGGTTTCTCTACACCAATACTCTCGTTTAACGCACTCCCAACTTCCAAAGGTCAACTGTCGGCCTGGCCCCCATGCACTAGGCTTGAATCAGGCCTGGTTTGCTTTGTTAGAAGCCGCACTTTGGTCAAGACAGCCATCATTAGTCCGGTCAAGGCAGGGCTGGACTCCACAGATGTTATTATTCTGGTCAAGACGGGGTTGTCCAGGCTCCCCTACAGGTGGTTGGTTGGTGGTCTGCAAACAGATTTGTGATGAACGGAGTGGGCCATGGGCCCAAACGTTTGAGAACCACTGCCATCATGGGTTAAAACATCTGGGCTATGTCTAGACTGGCATGATTTTCCGCAAATGCTTTTAACGGAAAAGTTTTTCCTTTAAAAGCATTTGCGGAAAAGAGCGTCTAGATTGGCACGGACACTTTTCCGCAAAAGCACTTTTTGCAGAAAAGCGTCCATGCCAATCTAGACACGGTTTTGCACAAGAAAGCCCCGATCGCCATTTTCGCCATCGGGGCTTTTTTGCACAAAACAGTTTTTCGCTGTCTACACTGGCCATCTTGCGCAAAAACATTTCCGAAAAAGGGCTTTTGCCCGAACGGGAACGTCAAAGCATTTGCGCAAGAAGCACTGATTTCAGACAGTAGAACGTCAGTGCTTTTGCGCAAAATCAAGCGGCCAGTGTAGACAGCTGGCAAGTTTGTGCGCAAAAGCAGCTGCTTTTGTGGAAAAACTTGCCAGTCTAGACGCAGCCCTACAGAGGAAGTGTCTTTCTAACCTCAGCCAATCAGTGGCTGGAATAGGCTCTGAAGCATCAAGGGTGATAGTCCTGATCTTTTTCTAATCCATCCTAATGCCACTGTGGATTTTCATGTTATCCACACACATGCCTGATCCTTCTTTTGAATCTGGCTAAGCACTTTTATTCCTACATCCTTCATATCCCTCCAAGAAATAAGAGTCTTGGCTAGTAGCGAGTGCCCAGAACAGGGATTCTGGACTCTCCCCGCTGTACCCCTTTTCCTGTGTGGCCTTGGAGGAGTCATCTTTGGGCCTCAGTTTCCCAATAAATACTTGGAATGATGATACCTACCCCACATAGGCGTCGGGAGATGTAACTGAGCTAAAACGTGCAGAGGGCATTAAGATCCGTGCATGGACGGTGCTATAGAGCAGAGAATTACTGAGTAACCCCATCTCCCACTGCCTTCAGTACTCAGTCCCTCGTTCAGCTTTGCCTCCTTTCATTTGTTTTCTCTAAGGCCTGGCTCTCAGCCTTTTGTCATGTACGGGAGCGTGGGGGGTGGACCCCTTAGGAGATCTTAGATACAGTCTGTGGACCCCCAGGAGTGTGCGGGACACAGGCTGAGAATGACTGTTTATGGTAAAAACGACCCTGTTGTGGGCCCGTTTGGTATAGTCTGCAGACTCCTCGTGTCCACACCCCACAGGTTGAAAACCACTGCTCTGAGGATTTTGAGAAGCCTGATTTCCTCTCATGGAAGAGCCAAGATGGTCACATCCTAGCAAATTGTCATTCAAATTCTGCAATAGTCCGGCTTTCGATTTTCCATCTATTTCTTCTCCCCACCCCCCACCACCGGAGATTGTAAGGGAAATCAAAATAAATCCACAGAAGGGATGGTCCTAGAACCCGATTCCAGTGCATCTCTCCTCCTGCATGTGTAATTACTACTGCGCAGATTTGAACTTGGGATCTCTGGAGCTTAGTATAAGCACATCTATTGCTTAAATTAGAAGCCGGCTGGTTCTTGGCTTTGGCCAAAGATCTCACTTGTTCTAATCTTGCTGTATGTGCCACTACATGAGATGGTGAACTACACCCCCTAGGTGTGTGGGTTACACATGTGCATTACAGCAAAGGAAGGGCAAGGCGGAGGAAATTACCTGGACTGAAAATCACCAATGCTGTACTCCATTGTTAACCAGCCAGCCTTTCTTCAAACTGTCCGGCCTACTTCACAGATTCAATAGGGTTTAAGGCTAGGAGGAACCATTACGATCATGCGTAACTCGGGTCATAGAATTTCACCCGATATTGCCTGACGACGAGGGGAAGAGACGTCTCTCCTTGAATGGATCTGCTTCAAATCCACCTTCACGTGGCTCTGTGTGACTCAGCCACTCCAGGAATATGGAGATGACGGGATTTGAAAAGACTTTGTCGCCCCCTCCCCATTCATGAAACAAGGCAGTCATTCGTTAAGGAACTTTTTACTTCAGCCTTTGTCCATGAGGCGTTCCAGTTAGAGATAGGCCTGAACCGCCAAATTCCCTCCCAAGCCTGAATACCCCTAAGCTTTTGGATCCATCCATTAAGGAACATTGGGATTCTCTAATCTGACTCCATTGGTTTCCCTGAATTAATCCCTGCCTCTAGTCCTCTGCCTGTGGTTGAATGAGAGCAGATCTTTGAGGGAATAAAAACACTGCCTCTCCTCTCCTCTCCTCTCCTCTCCTGATTAAATAATTCCCAATGGTGGAGAATTCACCCAACCCTTGGTAAACTGTTCCAACAGTGACTTGCCCTCCCTGATCAAAAAATGGACCTTTATTTCTGGTCCGAATTTGTCTAGCTTCAACGTCCAGCCATTGGATCTTGTTTCACATCTGTGATAACGCGGTTCCTTTCCCTGCATGTTACAGAGAGGCGCTTACGGAGGTGGACACCCACTTCTCTAGACACCGTTCTTTGTCTTTATCTGTTAGGACATTGATCCATGAGCACTCAAGACGATTTGCTTCCAAGTTGTCCGTGTCTGCTCCTCCCTTTTAGCCCACGCTGTCCTCTTTCAATAGACCCTCACCGCTGATTGTGGCATTCCATTCCTACGCATCGTCCCTCTGGCTTCAGTGATACCCGTGAGGTCCCATTGGAGCAAATCAAATCCCTCTTGCTTATCACCCCGGCTCCCAGAGTTCGTGACTAAGCAATTCAGTGGTGTCTTGTCTTCGTGTCCCTTGGTGCCATGATTCATTTGGCTCGTGACGTCTTTGTGCGAAATTAATGCTGCTTTGTTCCCCCTTTTTCACCTTCTCCTTTTGTTGTCACTTGAATTCTCTCCTGCAGGCCTTACAGTCGGTGAGTAACATGCCCTCTTTCCCGTCCTTTTTCCAGCACCTGAGCTTTCCACTGAACTGCTGGGAGCAGCCTCGCGATCGTATCGAGTTACAGACCTGAAGCCGAGAGCGGTGTACTCGTTTTCAGTACGGCCGCTCTTTGGAGAGCTGGAGGGGCCAGAGGCTGTGCTCATGGAGGAGATAGGTATAACTTGGAGAACCGGGGCTTTGTGTTGCAATTCCTTCTGGGGCCTTTCCTGTTACGAGACGGTGCTTGGTCTCATGCACTTCCAAGGCCTCTCAGAGTTAGGGGTCCTCTTACAGTGACCCACTTATGCGATGGATGTCGTTCCCCTCCTTTGTTTGCTTTTTACAGTGGGGTCTCCAGGGAATCCTTCCCCTCCTGTTCCTGCTGTTCCTTCTTTACCGCCTGCCACTACGGGACCCCTGTCCATAGGTCCTAGGAGCACAAGGGCCTCTCCTCTTCCAACGGCCACCCCCGTGACGTTGGGAACAACGCCGGCAACCACGCATCGCCACCGTTGACTACTCCGCCTGGGCCAAGTGAGTTAGAATCCTCCCGGGACTCGGTGTTGCTGAATTGGAGCCTTAGAAGCCTCGTGCCTCTTGGATGCCGTGGCCTTCTCTCATCGCACGCGTTCAAACTGGGGTGGGGTGGGGGAATAGTTGGAGAGGAAACTCCAGGGCAAAAGCAGGTGCTACAGGGAGTCTGTTGAGGGTCATAGAATTGTGGAAGGGACCTCGAGGGGACTTCTAGTCCAGTCCCCGTCTCTCGAGGCAGGACTGCGTATTATCTAGACCAGTGGTTCTCAACGTGTGGCCTGCGGACCACGGGTGGGCCACGAGCATCTTGCAGGTGGGCTGAGGCTCGGGACGCTCCCCCCCCGCAGCAGGGAGCCTGCACTGGCGC